CGTCAGCCAATCTGCATCCTCAGGTCTAAGAAGATTGAACAGGGGCAACTGTTATACCCCAAAATTTGCCCTCCCATATTCCTTAAGAAATTGCCAAACCAAGCTAGAAAATTCCCCAAGGGTGGTGCAGTGCAACAGTCTCCTAAACAGTCCAAATTAGGGTTTTGAGTCTGATCAAGAAAAGGAAGTGTTCAAAGGCCCAATCAAGTCTCATATGCTTACAAACATGGTCAAGCATCCTCATATCAAGTTTCAAGGCATTCAGCTCAAGATTGCACAGTCAAAACCCTAGATTGCACTACAGTCAACTGTAGGGGCAAAATGGTCATTTGACAGTCAAAAGTTCAAATTTTTGGGTCAACATATCATTTTGAAGCCACAAACATCATTTGATCAATGCTTGATCATGATTCTCAAAGTTTGGCTCAGAAATCATCAAAGATGCAAAAGTTGCTATATTTGGACAGCTGAAAAAGTCAACTGAAATTGACCAGGGTATAACTTTCACATGGATTATCAGAAAAATTCCATCCAAAGCTCATTTTGAAGAGAAAGACATTTCCTACAACTCATCTTCATACTTCAAGTCCAAGAAATGCTCTCACAAAAAGTTATCAATTTCAACATTATAGGTCATTTTCAAAAGTCAACAAAAAGGGACTTTAAGTCAAAGGCCATAACTTGAGATTGGTAAATCACAATGACATGGGACCAAAGGCATTGGTTAAAGGACTCAAAGACCTTTCCAAAATGTCCAAGAACATGAGAAAATCATAAAAATTGAGCAAGTTATGCCTTGTAGAAGTTGGGAAATTTTTGTGAAATGGAAAAAGTCAACTATCCTTGAAAATCCAATTTTGACAAAAGGGCCCCATTTTTCTCACTTTGTTCATCCTTGTCATGCCACACACGTGTTCCATGGTTGATTTCAAGACCAAATATTGATTTTTTTATTTTATTTAATTTTTGATGATTTAATTCATTTTAATTCTTTGAAAATTCAAATAAAATTTAAAAACCAATGGAATAGTGTCAAATGAACTTGGACATTTCCTATGTATCATGAACCAACTCAAGAAATCAGGCTAGGGTTCATTTGCATACTAGGTCTAGGTTTTGGCTAAAAAGAAGGAAAATGGTTAATGGAAGAAACCCTAAGACCAATTCTTTCCCAAGCTTGAGTTTAGGTCAAAAAAACAAACCAATTCCCTTCCATGAGATGCATTGAGTCAAACCCTAACCATAGTGCAGCAAAAGGCTCGCTCAAAAGTGGATTGGAACTTTGAAAATTTGGACATAAAATGCAAATCTGAAATCAGTGCTAGGGACGGTTTCAAGCCTTAATTTTTTTCCTAAGAGCATCCTGAGGCAATTCTGAACGTATCCCAATTCTTAATATCAATCAAAACTCCCTGAGCTGGTACCTCTAAGTCAAACTGCATCTCAAAAATTTGGAAATCATATAGCACGATTCAAGCATAGTTTGGCATTTTTATTTATGTATTCATATTCACAATGATGTTTCCAAGCTGACCAATGCGTTTGATTTCATTTTTGTGCCATAAATATGAACTTGCCATTTTCGAATTCTAGGGTTACAGTTTCCTCGAATTGGGGTTTTGGCATAAGGGAAAAATTGGGACTCAGAAGCACCATGGTTGAATTCAGTGCTTCAAGACGAAAACATCTTGACCCTCGCGCCTAATTTCTGATCACCATAGCCCTATTCGTTATTTTTCCATAGCCACCCTAACGCCATGGTTGAAAAACCGTGGCCAATGTGTTTTGTTTTTACAGGGATGAAGATGATGATGCGTTGTCAATCAGTGATACGTTCATTCAAATTCGCGCGCGTGGAATCATTAATGCCTTGATTATTCCTTTTATTATTGATTAACTATATTATGTTAAATGAATTCAAAGTGGCTCAGTGGCAACGCGTTAGGCACATGACATCAAAGACCTGGGTTCAAGTCCCAGGTCTTGCAAAATTCAATATTATTTTTCATTTCCAATTCACATGCAGCGCTCACATTGATGCTCACCATACTCCATCAGAATTCAACCTCCACGTGTCCCAGGGCCTCAGATCCATGGCCAATGTTCAAGATGCACCATACATCAAGTCAACAGGCGCGCATGTGATTGAAAAAGTCAACAAAATTCAAAGCAAATGGGCCAGGCTTTTCAAAATTGCACCTCCAATTCTGGGGTCTACCCCCCCTGGTTTGCCCATTTAATTTATTTTCTTATATCTTTTAATCATTTATTTTAATTGTTATATTATTTTAATTATTTGTTTTATTTAATTTTTAATCAAAAATATAAAAACATTAAAAATACAGAAAGGACAAAAAAATATAATTAATTTTGATTACTTTTATAAATAAATTAAAATGTGTAAATTATTTAGTTTTAATTAGGTTTGCAATTTTAATCTCTTTTTAATAAAAATCCAAAACAACATAGAATTTAGGATTAATGACTTTTAATTTTCTTTTTTTATTTTTCCCTTTTTTTCAGAATAATAACATTATTTTTTTATTTTTCATAAATCAAAAATTGTACATAAATTAATTTAGAGTTAAATTAGGTTAGAAATTAAATCTCTTTCTTAAAAACTTGAAAAAACATTAGAACTAGGGTTTAGCATTTTAATTTTAAATAATTTTTCTTTTTTTTCTTTTAAATCTAAAGAACACAAAAAATACTATTTTTCATTTAATTTTAATTCCTTGATTAATTTTAATTGTTTGTAAAAGGGTCCAACGCCCTAATTTTGTTTAATCTCTTTATTTCGCGCATTTGTTTTATATTGTTCAAATAATTCTGTATATGCCCCAAAGCCATGTAATTTAAAATTCTTGCACTTTTATTTATTCGCTTTATTTTACTTTCAGTCAAATCGGGTTCGGTTTTTTTGGCGATGTGGACCCGCGCCAGTTGTAATAGTTAGATTTACTTTCTCGCAAATATATAACTGTTAATAAATATGCATGAAAGAATGAATGCCCAAAAATAAAATCGAATCGTTAGATCACCAATGCATGACAAGGCAAACGATAAACTGAAAATGATACACAATTCGCACACACCACCCCTAGGGTACGCCTCACTGTTGCCTTTCGAAAGGTGGTCGTCGAGTATAGGACGTTTTAGTAAGTCCTTATGTCCATGACATGATCCAGTTGCCTCGAAACGGTTGCCTCGGAAAATAAAGGATCAATGGCATAAGGGTAGCTTCTAAGGTGTCCTACTGTTGCTCTGGTGACCACCACGTCCCTAAAACTCGAATTGACCCGAACACCTCCAACGGTGGTGCTACCTACCCCTCAATGGTGGGATGGCACTACCTTAAAGGACATTTACACAGACTAATTCCTTAGGGTAGGTAGGTTCTCAAAGGTACTTGCTCTAATTTCAAACAAAACAAAAACTCTCTTCACACCAACACACTTTCAAAAAACTTTCAAAACAAACTTTTCAAACACTCTGACGTACGAGTTGAATTGAAACTTTTCAAAGAATATTTTTGAAACCCACATTGAAAAGCAAGCAAACAATTTTGAAAACACATTGAGCAAGTACCTAAGAGCCCATGGATAACCATGGATAGAAAGGGTGCTAACACCTTCCCTTTCTATAACCTACCTCCCGAACCGAGAGCAATCTCTTTAAGGAATTTTTCTGTGCTTTTGTCCTTTCCTATTGGAGAAAATAAAAGACGGTGGCGACTCTTGCTTCCGCGACATTTCGCGAACCAGCTTTAAAACAGTCAGTTCCAGATCCACCGATCACACCAAGGGTTTGTTTTTTGGCGATGTAAATACTCGACGCCTTGTAATAGCGTAGATTTACTTTCCGCACAATTATTAACTGTTAGATGTATGTTAATTAGGCTATGCATGATAAGACGTGTTCTCAAAATAAAATCAAAATGTAGCTCACCATAACATGTTCAAAGATAACTTAACTGAAACCTGACACACTCGCACATGCCACTCCTAGGGTACGCCTCACTTGGTTGCCTCGACGTGGTCATTGAGTATAGGGTGTTTTAGAGGTCGCCCTCCTGTCTAAAGATCCAAGTTGCCTCGAAACGGTTGCCTCGGATAAAAAAGGATCTAGGACATTAGGGTTACCGCTAAGGCATCCTACTATTGCTTTGGTGACCACATGTCCCTATAACCGAATTGACCCGAAACTCCAACGACGGTGCTACCTACTTCTCAGTAGTGGGATAGTACGGTCTAAAGGACATTTACACAGCTTAATTTCTTTTGAGTAGGTAGAGGTTCTCAGGTACTTGCTCTTTCAAAACAAAAACAACTTTTCGCACCTACATTTTTCTGACGAAAGTTTTCAAACAACACTTCATACACTCTTGAGGACAGATACAAGAGTCAAAACGAAGTTTTCAAACAAACTTTTTCAAAACCCACAAACACAAGAAAAGCAAAAAATTTTGAAAACATAGTGAGCAAGTACCTAAGAGCCCGTGGATAACCACGGATAGAAAGGGTGCTAACACCTTCCCTTTCTATAATCTACCTCCCGAACCCGAGAAACATCTCGAAAAGGAATTTTGTTGTGCTTTTGTCCTTTCCTTGTTGGAGAAAATAAAAGACGGTGGCGACTCTTGCTTACCGCGACATTTTGCAAAAACAAACGCAAAACGCAAACCAGCATTCCAAAAACAGTCAGTTATTCCCACCGTATCACAGAACTCGCGACTCTGCTGGGGAAGCTTATAAGTGGGGTGTAATTAACCATTCTGTTAATTAATTTAAAAATGATCTAAGACAGTTAATTAACCATTCTTCCTTTTCTTAATTAACCATTCTTCCTTTTCTTAATTTTTTCTGTTTGTCATCAATTACAATTATTGTCATTTTCTTATTCATCTAATTTAATAGGTTGCGACTGTACTCCTCTCTTCTGCTTTTGCCTACGACATCTTTTGGGTGTTCATATCTCCGTTGATATTCCATGAAAGTGTCATGATTGCAGTAAGTATTCACCTGTACAAGTAATACTTTAGCTCTTCACTTTTATATTTTTAGTGCAGTTTGCATCTTCAAAGGAAATTTTGGTAGAAAATGAGGAGAAACTAGAAAATGTAGTCAGAGGACAAAGTATCCTTTTAGCATAGTGTTATAATATAAGAAAGTATCCCCTCTGTTACTTTTTAATTGTCACTTTTTTTGAAGAATTTTATTCCTATTTATCCGCCGTTTTCAAATTTTAATGCAACATTAATTATCGTTTTGTCAATAATACTTTTAAAGTGTGGATTGAGCCCAGTGGCTGAGCCAGCGTCCGGCCAGGTAGGGCAGCTGCCCAGGCTCCGCCCGACCATGCTTCACCATCTCGCGATGGAGATCTTCTATGGCCATCTTCCGACACACCATACCGTAAACAGATACACACCGCAACACCACTCTTGCCTTTCCGGTTTCCGTTCAATCAATTATCGGTGAGCATCACCTTCCTCCGCCGATTCTTTCTTCTTCTTGCTTCTGTTTCAATTCATATCTCCTACATCATTGTTGTTGTTTTGTTATTTGTTGTTGTTGTTGTTGTTGCAGGTTGTGGTGTTGAATTTGTTGTTTCGTGCTATGTCCACCAAGTGTTCGGTAAAATTTCTGAACGAATATTTTTCTTATTGGGCATCCTAGAATCCAAGAGTTGCTCTTCAACCGCCGAGAATGGTGAGAATTTCTTACACCTTTCCCTCTTTTTCATTTTTCATTTTAGGTTTTTTAACTTCTCTTGTAGCGTCTCTGAGGATGGGATTCCATCCAAATTTCCTCTCTCATTTCGCACTAGATCAGAGCTTCACTTTGCACTTCAATTGTTCCATAAAGCGGTTTGTTTTTATGTATTCATATCGATGAAAGTTTGTAAATCTATTTACACTGTACATGCAATTCTGCATTTGGAAGATAATTCTGGATTTGCACTCATACCTCAAGTCATACACTTGTAATTAATCTATGAGTTTTTGTTAATGTTCGCTTCATAATCTTTGCCCAAGTATTTTTCTGAATCTGGTTTGCTTGCTTATATCAGACTGGGGCTATGGATGTGTCAGAGTCAGGACGTGAATATGGGGCTAAAAACACTGACGACACCCCTGTGACGGGCACTTCTCAGAAAACTCGAGGGGGTAAGTTATTCACATTTAACTGGTTATCTCGTTTGTGCAATCTGTTGTGCTATGCTTGTAAATGTATGTTTCGATAGTTGATGATTTATTGAACTCTTGAAGATTACAGAAGATGCTCTTCAATACCTTTTGGTGCATGGTTGTCCTCCAAATGTCCGGACATATACTATATTGATCAATGCACTTTGTAATGATGGCTCTTTTGATGAAGCTACACTCTTACTATCAAAAATGGATACCAATGATTGCCTCCCTGATGCTGTAACTTTTGATACAATTATTGGTGCACTGCTCAAGAGAAATGAGACCGAAAAGGCAGAGAAACTTCGTCATGAAATGATGGAGAGAGGTCTGGTAAATATTGAAAAAAGGTCAGATACTTTAGTTCCATTTTATTTATTTACTTGCTTTTGGACAGTAACTTCAGCTTCATTTTGGATTATGCTTCTATAATCTATTATCTTTCACACTCTAATGGATTAAATTGCCACATCTACTTGTTATTGTGTTATTTGAAAAAGAATCCATGATAGGATAGATATTTTGATATTTCATTACGGTTTTCTCAATATTGTGACTGTTTGTTTCATGTGATGGTGATTATTCATTGTTGTGGAATGACATGCTTGCTGTGTGATTAATGTTTGTGCAGCTTTTGAATTTGTGTTTATTGGAACATTATTGTGTGTATAGTGCCACTGATGTTTTAAAGCTTTGTTTGTGGTTTTGATTCTGGTAACAGTATTTGTGCTTTAGAATTAGAGGTTGGTAGTTATGAATCTGTGATTAACTTTTGATTTCATGTGTCACGCACGCGCAACATACTGCAAGGAGTTAAACTCCTTATCCAAAGCAGGATTGCCTCCCCCATTTAATGTTCTTCTTGTGTGTTATTCACTTTTCGAACCGACACAGGTTCTTTCCTATACTTTTTTTTTGCTACTTATATGACTTTTTTCATACATTAATTATAGTTTTAAAATATATATTTGCTCTACTCCACAACAGAAGGATGATCGTAAAATCCTGAAGCGTTGGAAGTGGAGATGTGTACTCATGGATGACGCACATGCTTTAAAGGACTGTAAAATTTAAATTATACTTCAGACAATTCACTATCAAAGCCCTTCATGGTCCCGCTCATACCAAAGCTGGATAGGTGAGTTTTCTCCGATGAAAAATATTTTTCTCAACTTAGATTAAATGTATCTGTTGTATTTATTTTGATACACGAATGTCCAATCCTCAAATATATTTGGAACTTATCAATATTACTTTTATAATTAATTATTAATTATACTTTTTTTTAATATTTATCAATTAGATATGACACAACAAAGTGATTAGTACGGTGATAATAAATAAGTGAATGAGCAAAAACAACAATCAGACCGAGTAGGATAAGAAAAACTCGGTCCGATCAGACTGAGTAGAAACGGAAAAACTCAATAAAATTGTTGAATTACAGGTCAAGTTTTACCTCTTAGTCTGCAAATTTTGTTTAATAAGTTTGTAATTGTAATTGCATTTCATTTTCTCATTTTCTAATTATTTGTCTGTAGATCATTCACCGTCGTTGTTTCGGTTAAACCTCAATAGATATTTCATCGGTTTCAACATTGTTTGGGAAAGAAACGTCTCCGTTTCATTTACTAGCTTTGTTGTTGTTGTTGCAGTGAAGGAAGTTGTGTTGAAATCGAAGTCGCTTGTAACTAAGGACAAGATTTTAGTTTCTATTACTGCTGGAATCAAGTTGAAAGAATTCAGGTAACAGATACATATTATATAGTTTGAAAAGAAACAACAAATACATATTATATTAGACTATGAAATGTTTGTGCATGTTTAGATTAAAAGTTCACCAATTTATTCTATGTTTAGTATTGGAATGCATGTTTAGTGTATATTTAGATTATAAATGAAATTTTTATAATAACTATGCATTTGTAAAAGCTACGTTGATATATGAACCATGGTGTTTTTCCATCCTTTATATGATAAAGAGTAATGTATAATTTATTTCATTTTAGAAAACCAAACATGATAAAGAAGGATTGGGTGGAGTTACCTCCACACAGTCAAAGTTATAAGGACGATGTAAATTACTTTTTTGGATATTGCATTCACCAAAGGAATGGTTGAAGAAGAAGAGATTTTGTGTCCTTGTTTTGTATGTTGCAATGATAGTTGGGAAGTAAGAGATGTAGTGTATGACCATTTATGTAGTAAAGGATTTGTAAAGGGATACACTGAATGGATTTATCATGGTGAAGATGAGAGTCTTATAGATCTTGATGGTGATAGTGATGATGAAAATTCACATCCATTAAAAACCTTCATAATTAATTCACATCCATGAGATGTGAAGAATATAAACAATGTGTTTTGCTCATTGGTTTAGTTTTTATTTGTGCGAGGTTTAATTCTTGTTGATGTCTTAATTGTCCTTTGGACCAAAAATACTTATGGTTAATGTGTTTTATTTTATTTTCTTATGCAGCAATGTATCAATGAAGATGTTGAAAAGGACGATATAAATGATGAAATTCAAGAGGACGACATAAATGATAAAATTCAAGAGGACGACCTAAATGATAAAATTCAAGAGGACGACGTAGATGACGAATTTCAAGAGGACGACATAGATCTAGATGATGAATTTCAAGAGGAGGATATAGATGGTGAATTTCAAGAGGACGACGTAGATGAAGAATTTATGGAGGATGACATATCTAACGAATTTCAAGAGGACGATCTGGATGCTTTACTCCTAGAAGACAAACTTGAATGAGTTGGATGATGTCTTTTTTTGGCTTGTAGTTGAAAGCATTAAACTTGAAATATGATTTTTGTTCTTTTGCTGAACTATGTTTTTAGTTATTTTACTAGGGTCATACTTCAAAGTATTAAAAGTAATATTGTTACGTTAGGCATTTTGTGTACTCTATATACTATATCTTGAATTAAAGTTCGAACTCGATTTTATTATATTACAACTTTTATGGATGTATGGTTTAAGTTATATAATCAATATTATTTTTGAAGCCAATTATTATTGACTATATTATTTTGATAATAATTGCAAAATTGTATATTTTATGTGGACACTATAAAACAACAACCTATAAGTTATGGCTACACTTCAAAAACGATCTTCCTGATTCAGGTTTAAGGCAACGATTGTTAATTGTAGCCGAATTTGGCAACGCTTAAAAAATGTTGTCTCGGAGGCCGTAAATAATCGTCCCCTATTCCTTTACTATAGGCGACGTTTTTCAAAAGCGTTCCCAAAAAACATAAAAAAACGTTGCCTCAAACAATAGGCAACGCTCGCACAGGAGACGCCCAGAAAACGTCCCCTATTGTTTTAGGCAACGATTTTCAGAGTTCTGGCAACGTTTTTCAATTGTTGCTGGAGAGCCTAAATGTTGTAGTGTCCCTTTCTATAATCTACTCCCCGAACCCAAGAAAACATCTCAAAAGGTTTTTGCTGTGCTTTTTAACCTTTCCTTAGGATAAAATAAAAAGTCGGTGGCGACTCTTGCTCAACCGAAACATTTGCGAAAACAAACGCAAAACCATAGTCAGTTCTCCCACCGTATCACAGTGGTTCTTCATATAAGCCAGATAAATGCAATTGAATATTATGAAAAGCTTGGAAATGCTCTTGTGATCACAAATATGTCATTAGTTTTCTCAAATGATGCAAGAACAAGTCAAATCGATTTCAAGAACAGGGTTGTGTTTCGTGAGACTTACAGTGCTTGTAGAGGCCTAAAAATGCTTGCTTTTGATCCAGGTAGCTTGTGTGAATGCCCAGGAAGCGATTGGGACAAGTCTCGTGTCCTGAAATTGTCTCTAACTTGGACTTTGATCTCCCACTTTTTTGAGAGTTTTTCAATTCTTGTTCTGCCTCTCTCCACAGTTTCCAACCCTTATTTTCGTCCCTTATACTTGCTTATGTATTGTGTACTGGATTAGGGTAACAAATTTGGTTCAAATCTTGCTCCAATAATGATTGCAAATTTGATTTGATTCTCCATAAAAACCTTCCAAATTTGATTCATTTCAATCTTTTTGTACATGATTTGACTTAATACGAATTTGATGGTGATAATTGCTGAATGTGGAGCCTGAAATAGCCAAGAGATCATGAGTTATCAATGCTTTGGATTTTCTAAGATTTTATTTGATTTAAAATGAATAAATTCAATTAAAAATCAAATTAAATAATAAAAATGAAATATGGGCTCATGGCTGAAGCTAGGACACGTGGGAAACTATGCAAGCTCAAATCAAGTGGCAAAGAATGGGCCTATTTGACAAAATTTGAAGTTTTGGGGATAGTTGACTTTTGGCAATTTTGCAAAAAATCCAATTGCAACAATGCATAACTTCTTCAATTTTGAACTTTTGGAGGTGTTCTTGGACTTTTTAGAAAGCTTGAGATGTGCTATAACCAAACCTATTGGTCTCGTCTCATTTTGATATTCCATGTTCAAGTTATAAGCTTTGGGAAAAAAGGTGTTTTTGTTGACTTTCAAAAATGACCTATAATGTCCAAATTCATAACTTCTTGTGAGTGCATTTCTTGATCTTGGGGTATGAATATGAATTGTAGGAAATTGCATCCTCTTCAAAATTAGCTTTGGATGGGTCATTTCTCATAAAGTATGAGAAAGTTATGCTGGGTCAAAGTTGAGTTGACTTTTCCTACAAAACCCTAATTTAGCAACTTTTGAGTCTTGATGAATTTTGAGTAATCCTTGATGAATCTTGATCAACCCTTGATCAAATGATGAAATATCCTTCAAAATGAGAATGTTGACCAAAAATCTTGAAGTTTGACTGTATATAGGTCACAGTTGACTTTTGCCCTAGCATAGTCGATTTTTGGACCTTTGAGCAATTGACTGAGCAAACTTTCTCTGCAAGGCTTGAAATTTGACATGGATGATCCTGATAACATATTAGGACATTGGGGAGCACTTAAGGTCATTTGGGCTCAATGATCTTGATACAACACAAAACCCTGATTTGGGGTTGACTGCCTTAGGAGATAGCTTGTCTGTCCAACTCTTGAGCAAACTTGAGCAACTTGGAGATTTTTCTTGCAATGTCTTGAGGAATATGAGAGGGAAAATTTTGGGGTACAACAGTACCCGTTTGAGGTAAGGTTCAAGAGGGATGGAATTCGTGTGTCCTAAAGTCTTGCTATCCACCTTATTTAGCATCCTCCAAGCTTGGATGAATCTTTGGCGAAGACCTTGATTGTCATTGTCGTTGTCGAATACCAAACCTTAAATTAACATCTCGTGCGGGCCATCCCTTCGGGCGTGACCAAACTGTCTTAGAGCTAAGCAAGGGTTGTAGGTGATGCCTCCCCTAATGCCAAGTAGAGGGACGTTAGGAAATTCCCCACAACGGTCAACAATGATAACATTCTCTTTGGATCGGGAACACCAATGAATATCTGAATGTTTGAGCGTCATTAACCTTTGTAACCACCTTAATCCTTGCTCATTCTTTAAGACTGATTGGGGAAGATGAGAAATAAACCATCTTTCCAGGATAGGAGTGCAACACATAAGGACACCTCTTTTCCTCATTGTGCGAGTGTGAAAAGAGTGTAGGATATCCCCTAGCAATGTAGGCACCGGATTGCGTGACATGAAGATTTTGACGGCACTCACATCTATGAGTTGGTCAGGATTTGGGAACAAGACTATCCTATAGATAAGAAGAGCCACAATTTCCTCAAAGGCTTGCAAGTCTATGGAATTCCAACAGCTTTGGG